AGGGAACTTTTCCAAGTTACCCGCGAGTTACAATATGAGGTAGGTGCAAAAAGAAAGGGCCTGAAAGTGTGATAATTAAAAATCACTTATAAAAGAAGATGGGATAATTTGGATGTTTGAAGAAATAAGGAAAAGAAAAATAAAAGAAAAGGAAAAAGAATATATACGAATTTTACGAATTTTACGAATTTTACGAATTTTCATACAGTAAAATAGCCTTTTCCCTGAAAAATGGGAATATTGAGAGAAAAGAAAAATGATCGACTGCTTGAATATCGATTCTTTTTCAGTCCTCGTTTTTTTCGTTAAGCAAAAGGAAAATTGAAAAATTCAATAGAAATAGAAAAAAACGGCTTTAATCGGCAAAAATGAATGAACTTTCGAAACTCAAAGAAATCAACAAAAGACAAAACATCTAAGGGTTATTTTTTTGTAATTCATTTAATTTAGCTGTCACTTCCTTTTCACAAAGCCTTTTCTTGTACATCTTAATTGATTGTCATGTTGAAAATGAGCTTGACTGATTCAAAGTGACAATTTTTCTCTACAACTAATTTCGGGGAAATCTCTTTCAAATTAAATAAAAAAGGTTTTCAAAAATAAAACATTTAACTCTAAAACTATAGGAACGATAAGAAGTATATAAGAAGACATTTAACGATTAAATTTCATCAAAATTCTCCCAGAAATGATTTCATTTCAACCCTCAACGATCAGATAAAGGCGGAAAAGAGAGAAATGTGAAATGTGTTGAGAAATTTTTAAGAACAAAATTTTCCAGAGAATCGATACGATTTCCATATTTTCTTTGTAATTGAAAATAGCATAGGAATCGATGTTGTTTTTTCGAAAGAAAAAACCCTAAAAATGGATGCAGAAAGGCTGTAATTTAGGGGATCGATTCGGCAAAAAGCGTACTACTTGAGGCCAAATAAGGATTTGTTTTGTGAAATTTAATAGGTTTTTTTCTGTGCAAACAAATTCAGGAATTGAGGTGAAATTTGTGGGGATGGATCAGAAAGAGAAAAATGTTCGGTCAAGTGGTGTCTAGTGGAGGATGGAAGTGCTGGGAGGGGGAGAAGGCCAGCTCAATGTGACAATTAAATCCCAAACAAAAGTATTTTAGTAAAGCTGGAATAAATGCCTTCAAGTCAATGGTGTCTAGTGGAGAATTAAAGTGCGGAGTGGGGGGAGATCACTCGCTGCATTTGTGCATTTTAGCATAGCTTCAACAATCACAACTTTACCCATAAAGAAAGATCTTTTCTTTCAGAATTTCAGAGCCAAAATATTCCCGCATCAACTAAACCAAAGGGAGTGGCGTTTACTAAAGAGTTGTGTTTTAAAAAAGTTAAACTTCTTTCAATCAACTGTATTGCTCGTAAAGTCTTATTGGTTAACTGTAAGATTAAGTGTAGAACTAAAACATTCTTCAAAATGCTTAAATTCAAAATTCATTTAAACCTTTTACTTTAAAATGTTCCTAAAATGGGGTTGTTTTTGAAATTCGATAGCTTTAAAAAAATGGACAAAAAAGGCATTGAAAGGTGAATAGGAAATGAGAAGAAAAAGGTGGCAAAACAAAAACCTCCGCAAAGGAAGAACAACTTTAGGATAAAGGATGGATGGAAATGGAGGTATTTTAGTTGGATTGGGTTGTTGAGAAAGTGGAAGGGACGGGAGAGGAAAAGAGGGAGTGGCCGCGGAGGGCCCTTGCTATAGAAGGGGGAGGTGAGGAAGAGACCTTGAGTCCAAAAAGGCCAAAAGAGCTGAAAAGTAGAAAGGCGAATAAGGAAACTAAAGGATCGTGAAAGAGTCGAAGAGAGGGATTCCCATTCCCGGGGGAAGCCAGAGACAACGGGCCAAACCCAGAGAAGCTCTACATGTTTTTCATGCATGGCTTTTCTTTTCTCTTATTCCTTGTCCTATTCCCGTTTTGCTCTATTTTTGCTAATTCCAAACCCTTTCTATTTCTTCCCTAGCTTTCTATACCGTCAGTTTTTGCTCAGTAAAGGTTCAAAACTTTCTTACTGCTTACCAAATCGGCTCTAGAAACAGTCCCTGGATTTCCTCCATTTCCTCAGTTTTCCTCATTCCTTACTACTCCCAAACTTGCCTGCTCAAGGTTTTAAGGCAATAGCTTTGAATTGAGCCTTGCCTAGAACCTTGGCTTCAAAGCTTTCGGTTTGGCCTTGAATTGACGGAAAATTGAGGTAAAAAATAATTGGCTTGGCTTGGCCTGAAAAATCGGTTCTAGAAAAGCCCTGAATATGGGTTCCTCATTCCAGCCCAATTCCCTTTTCTCGTCTTACTGCCGTTTTCCAATACAATGAGTATAGCTCCATGCTGGGGTGAAAACACGGAAATTGGGGTTCAAAGGAACGACCAAAGAAAATGTTGGAAACAACATATTTTTGATGATGTTGAGTTAAAGATTGAAAAAGTGAACATGTTGGGTAAAATGGTGAAATGCACATATTCTCGAGCACGATAAAACTAGAGCAGCTGGAACACTACGAAATGTGAAAGAGATTTGGTATTGGAATAATTCTGGTATTGTAAAAAAATATTAAACATATTAGTCAAGAAAGATTTAAGTATCAGCTTTTCGAAAAAGAAAAACCCAGCTTCAGCTTTTTGTTCTCTGATCAGCCATTTGAAAAGATCAAAACCCAGGTTTGCTGAAGTGTTTATGGAAAGAAGGAATGAAATCGGTGTGGCAATTGGAAAGGGTTTGGAAAGAAAGAAAATGAGGGTAAAGAAAACAAAACTCATGGTTTCTCAAGAAAATAAGTCAAAAAGAATAGCAAAAAAGAGAAGGCAGTCAAGGCAAAAAACAACGTGTTAAGTTCCAGGAGTTGAAAAAAAGAGTGCGATGGGGTGAGAAGAGGCGAAAGAGGTTGACAAACAATGAAATGCTGAAGTAAAGAAGAAGCTGTAAAGAGGAGATGAATGAATGGAGGATCGTTGTGAAAGAAAAAGAATGGGATAGATGGCATAGAGAGGGTTGAGGGGAAGGGGGATGGGAAAGGGGGAAGGTCTCCACTTACAACTCTCGACTTTGACTCTATTGTGTTGTTAAGTCAAGAAATGTTTCGTGCTCGGAAACGAGTTAATTTCAAAAAAAGTACTACTGTCAACTTGAAAAATTATCTCAAACGTGCCTCTTTGTGATGTCAAAAGACAATTTCTATTGTTTCAAATCCGATAAAGAAACATGCCTAAAGCTGAACAGGAAAACCTTCCCAAAGCTCTGGCAAATAAAATCAGCTTTCACTCATTACAGAGCATTACATCAACCCTTATAAATTCAAATAACGACCATTCTCACGGCTTATTGTTGATCTAATCAGTTACATATTTCAGTTACATAACTTAGAAAATCAGATAATTTTGATCAATAGTGTTCAATGTTTGCCTAAACAATTCTTTATTACTGTAGTTCAATGTTTATTTAAAAGCTGAATGGCTAAGCCTAGAATTTAGCTCGATGAGTATGAGAAAAAATAATAGAATAGAATGGTTTCAGTTTGAGCATTCTTTTGCGATATCTAATATTGATCAAACAATTCACAAAGATTCTCAAATCTCTTTGAACTTTTTGATCAATATCAATTAGGCTTTTAGATAAAAATGGAAACATGTAGGAGCATTTTAAACTAGATCTTATCTTTAAAAATCTTACAGTAATCTTACGGTATATGAGACGAAGCCTCGGAAACAAATACAATTTCCAGATTAAGAATGTAGAAGTAAAAAGTGTCGTTCGTTTTCGAGTCACCGCATCTATACGAAGCGTTCCCATTCTTCTAAAAACAAAAAAAAAGCAACAATCCGGTGTTTCTTTTATGATTGGAAGCGAGGAAAGAAGAAAGAAGAAAGAAATTCTCTCACGCCTCAATAGACAGACAATGTGCAAAGAACGATGGGCGGAAAGAATGACCGTCATACTTAATCACTCTATCGACATGGGGATCTGCAAGGGAAGAGATGAACGGATTTGTACAAAAATAAAGAGACTGCTGATCAAATAGGCAGACTTTCGAAAATAAAGCTGAAGCCGTAAGATAGGTTAAACACTGAAAAATATTGTGCACTATATTGAGATCAATGCCTAAAATCAGTGTTCCCTCTACTTGCCTAGATGCTAATTTAGACTCAGAATTGCGAGTTGATTAGAGGAGTTTAACGGTCATATTCTAGAATGTAAAGAAAAAAAAATTTAGCACTGAATTTATAGAAAATTTTTTGCGTTCGAGTTTTCTGTTTACATCACAAGCCGCCTACATGCTCAGCTTTGCATAATTGGAAAGAGGTCAAATGGAAAACGAATGAGCGTTTTGAATGGAATACGTTAACCTCAATGTAACAATTAAATCACAAACAAAAGATATTTTAGTAAAGCTGCAAGCAAAGCCTTCAAGTACATAAAGTCAAAAGCTGTGTCACAATAGCTCAAAAATTCTTTAAACGTTTTTTTCGATGGACAAAACGCCTTGGAAATCAATTTCAAAAGGGGAGCCATTCAATACCCGAATGAATGAAAAGATGGAGAAGAATTGAGAGAAATGTAAGAATTCCCCTCCCCCTCTCCCCCACATACACATTGCCCGCCAAAGTGAGCCTGACCTTCTTTTGCATGAACCTCCATCCATAAATTAGAAAGTCTCCGCGATGAAAAGGACCCCCCCCCCCAACAATGTATCTCAATTTTGCTCAACATATCCAATCCTGCACGGAGATCAACCAAGGTCATTACGTCGATAAGTCTCTTTATGACATGTGCTTAAATATCAAATCCCAGTGCCCACTCACTTTCATTTGCATTTAACAGCTCAAGAATTCATAAAACCATAATTTCAACAATTTATAAAACCATAATTCTAACTCGAAAACCCATAAATTCCAAAGCCAATTGTTTTCACAAAGAAGAAAGAACAATACAAAACATATTAGTTCTAAAAGCAGAAAATGTTTAAAACTTTGAAAATCCGAAGTTAATTTTGGCTTTCTAGGGCTTTAGCCTTGAGAATCGCTGGCGCTGAAGACGGTGGCACAATACGAATATCGGTTACAATCGCGGTGATGAGACTTGAAGGAACGAGCTCCATGTTTTCACGACCAAGTAACGCCATTCGTCCATACGTTTGCACCTAAATAACGTCTTTTGATTAGATGAATTAACAATAACAGCAGAAAATCACATCTTATCCACAAAAACCTTACCTTATCCACAAATTTGAAAGTTTGTGCACAAACCATAAACGGGATATTGTTGGCTTGAGCGGACAAAGCAATCTAAACTGATTTAAATCCAAAAGGACAGCACAATACCGATAAAGATCCTTTGGGAACCGCCACACACCCGTTCGACAAAACGGCCGAACATCCAATAAGCACGATTGAACACTAAAATTAAAACTAAAGGATAACTTGGCAATCAAAATGAACCTTATGCAATGCGACCGACAAGGAACGAAGATCCCCATAATCCAGCTTCACATTTTTGTCTAGTAAAGTGTCCATGTGGCGCACTCCTGAAAACAATGGGTCACTAATAATAAAGCATTATTGACCTCGACCATTCAACTGCTGATCAAGCACGACGATGTGTTTCAAATCAGGATCTTCGCCAACGAGAGAATCGAGTAAAATTCGATTAACAACACGACACCTAAACCGAAGCACGTTTGCAGAATTAATGAAAACCAACCAGTCAAATGTGACAATCTTTTTTGAAAACTTCCTCTTTTGCATCAAATGAGTAGAAATGGAATTAGTTGCCAACTCAAAGCATGAATAACGCGCTTCCTCAAGCCATTCTTCGAGTTCTTTTAATTTCTAAACAAAAATGACGATGAATGCAAAACTACAAGGGTAAATCCCCCCGTTTACTAGCATGCAAGAACAAAGGGACACTACATTCAAACTCACTTTAACTGTAGCGTCGGGGTTCTATAAAGTCTTTTCAAGTAAAAAGAACAAAAGTGAAACCAAAAAACTTACATCACATCCACCCGGCAGCTCGGCAGCAACTGTTCCATCTTCTTTCGTATGAGCATGTTTGCATGGTTCATCAAGTCGTTTAATTTCTCGCTTTAGTTGTCGTACAAGATTCCCAAGAGCATAAGGTAACGGCCAACGACCTGAATTCTCAAATCTTTCCATTGGAAAAAACCCAACCATCTTCTGTCAAGTATCCGAGCTGTGGTCGAATAGCCAAATCAAGGTCAAATCCGAGGGCGGTCGGATCGGCATCTGAGTTATGCAACCTTTCAGCACCCCAATCACTGATAAACTAAAAAAATAAGGGTTATTGTTGTCTATTCATTTCTAAACACAAAAAAATATTCTCACTTTGATAAACGCGCCAAGAAATTCCTCGCACAAATCATCAACGTCGGCAACTTGTCCTCTCTCACACCTAAACATTTTCTAATAAGGTTTTACTGCAAAAACAACCTTGCTGCCAGAGTATGAAAAACGGGATGAACGTTAAAGTTGGGCGCTAAATCCGTAAACACAAACATCTTTGGCAAATCTGATATGGTTTCTTCGGAAGGCGTTCTGAGCACAGTTGTATTCAGATCTAAAAAACCAACATGTTTAGCTTTGTGAAAATCTCTTACCAAATTGCACTTCACGATTTCCTCTAGCCGTATCTTTCTTTATAGCTGATTTTGGTTCCGGTGACGGCGGTTTCTGTGTTACGTCCTTTTTGTTTTCCAGTTTGCTCACCTGAGTTGTAGAAAGTAGAGTTTGACCTAAAATTTGTAGTAATTTAAATATCGAAACGTCATAATCCAGCATTTTCAACCCTATGAGTCACTTCCATTTATTTTTGAAGCCATTTTAGTCAATCATTATAGACTGGAATGTTGTTTATTGCACTGAACATTCAAACCATTTGGTATTTGAGGAGCATGCTGTTGTATTTGCGGTGCTGGCGATGCAACCACTTTTGATGTTGCATTAGCTTTTTTATTGGCTAAAATTTAACGTTTTCAACCAGTAATAATTATAAACCTTTCTCAGCTTTCTTTGCTTCCCTTTCAGCTTTAATTTGTTCTTTAGATTTTGTTTGTCGGTCCATTTCTCCTCGCTCCTTATCTGTCATCGATAAATTCGTGACGCCATTTACAAGTTCTGAGACTTGTTCTGTGGCCTCAGGCTCCTAGACAATGAATGATGTCAAAGTACACAAATTTGCCAAACGTTTGGAGTGCTCGATGAAGGTTCACTTGCAACAGCTTCATTATTTGTAGGTTCATCTGAGGGGACCGTTTGAGCCTTCTTTTCAATAGTCTTCTTCCTCGTCATTCTAAAAGTAATAAATTTTAGATGCACATGACGCAATAGAAATACAACTAAATTCCAGAGAAATTTTTACCAATTACGGAGAAATTATTACCGGGATTACTCATTCTCCAAAAAATGAAATTATAGTTAGGAAACTTACTGTCGAATTGAAATATCTAAATATCTAATTTTGTTTACCAATTTTGTCAAGATTTCTTAAGCAAGCTGAAAAAGGCAAAATTATGTCTGGTAAATACTCAACGCACTACGTTCCGCGACAAACAACAGAAGATAGCTTGAAATAAAAATCGGGAATGGTTGAAAGAACGTGCCAATGTCAGAAACCCAGAAATCTATATCTGCTGACCGTGAAGCACGTGGGCTATATGCTATACAAACGATTTAAATATGCTTAATTTTCCGTAATTTAATTTTTTTTCAAATTGAGTATTGTCTGTTAGACTTTCAAGTATGGAGCAGTTGCTAATTTCTCCCTCTTTTGTTGCGTTTCAACTCTAATTTCTGATTGACTTAAAATGTTCAGATTTATAGAAAGCATGCGAGTTGGCAGTGCAACCTCGCTAAGTTCGGCTGGCTTTGAGGTAAGTATAGCCTAAACGACTCATTTTATCAACATGTATAATCACCCAGGCTTCGTGTAGTATCGATGATGAGTCGTTGAAGAAAATCCGATCATATGGAAAATTCTTCTCGACAAGATTTGTACAAGTTTGTTTAGCTTCCAATATATTTCCTAAAAAACTATTTAGGTCGTTGTACAATCTCGCACAAATGAAAAGTTTGATCTAACATGCAGTACGGGAGTATCAGCTGATTGGTTCAACGTGCGAGTGGACGAATTGGGCGAGGTGTCAGCACAGTTGAGGAAGTCGACAACGAAGTAAAAAAGTTATTTTGTTTTTCTTCAAGGTGTTTCAGATATCCCCCTGACATCCCGTCCATATCCGTGGACTTTTTTCTGTACACAAAAGATGCAGAAACGCTGCCTTTGGAGTCATGGTAGGTCAGAGCTGATGATGTGAACACTCATAATCTAGGTCTTTCATATTTGATGGAAGCAAGAAATCCGCAGAGGAGAGTAGCTCTCTATATCACGACTTATCGACATTGCTTCGGTAGCTTTGAAAGTTTAAAAAAATAAAACGCAACAAATTCAGCTCTTGTATGCTGGCTGCTAGAATGACGCCCACTCATCGCTATTATGTAAAAAAACAAGGCCCGGAAACTTTCGTAATACTCTACAGGGTAGGTGCAGCTACTACTTTTAAAGATGATAATACGATAGTCAACTCTAAATACATTTTAGATAGCCGAAGGTGCTTCATCTTTGGATCTCGGAAGTGAAATGAAAACAATTCGATTGGGATCCTTAGCTACTCAAATCGGGACATTTAGCTTGGAATTGAACTATAGGTACTAGATATAAAAACAAATAGGAAAAAAACTTCGTATATTTTAGGACACGAATGGAAATCGAGCAAAAAATAACAAGCGATTCGCCTATCTTAGATTCATACCATCAGGTTGGGTTAAACATGGAAAAAAAAACCAGTCCTTGGTCAGATTGTTTCAACAACCTCAACTATCTACGCTCATCCAGCATTTGCTAGCTCTCCCGATACTCCATCCTCATTTTGCGAAGTCATTTCACATTTTAGTACCAGTCCAGCGAGTGTGGTAAGTTGGCATCGAATGTTTCTAGATGGCACGTTTATCCATATTAATGTAGTACTATTTATGTATTTGTTTGTTTTGTGCATTGTGTCTTCAGGCAGCATCGCCCATTCCTGGTCAGCTTGCACTAGCAACTTCCCCTCCTGGTCCTCCTCTACACTTTATCACTAGAGTGAGCATTTTTTAGACACACTCGATACTAACACCCTGAATAGTCTATACTCGTTTGCCTTGTGATGTACATTAAAGATCGTAATTCAAACAATGGATTCGTTCAAGAATCCGACACTGCATGAAAGCTCTTTAAAGTCTAAAAAATAGTTATATTTTAGACTAGGAGCAGGACTCAATCCACACAGTCAGCTAATTCGGTTAATGCTGAATCGCCACCTTCCTCTGATGTTGGCTCATTGGAAAAGGATGGCGCTCGTCGAAGTAGAGAACATTCGGGATCATTGGTAGAAAGGCAACAAAAACTTTTCGTAACAAAATTTAGACCATTTCGAAGGATATTCCATTTGCTGGTCTACTTACTATGTCATTCACGGGTGCACTCTACCCACTAACTGCTTTAACCGAAGAAAAGTTTAACCATGAAAATGAGGAAGAAGAAGCGACCGAAGACAAAGAGGGTGCTGAAGCAGATGATCCAAAAATGCACAATCCAAGTCTAGAAAACACTATTGGTAATTTATCCCAAGACTTAATCCTCATCAAAAAAAATTACAGTTGCTGATACACCGCTAACCCAAACGACTCCACCAGCTTCTACGGTCGCTTCAGTGGTTGCATCAACGGTAAGAGCGCGATAAAGTAAGAATGAAAAAAATTTAGGTGAAAAATAACCAAAGTGATGAAGAGCCGGAAGATGACGAACAAAAAGAACAAACCGAGGTTGAAACGTCTAAAGACTCTAAAAGCGATGAATTGGAAGAAAAAGAAGACGACGATAGTTTTGTCAAGGTAATAGCCTCATAAGCTAGCATCGCAACCAAACATTTTAGATACCATTTTTTGGAGCCGGCTCATCTCCAACTTCGATGACGGTAAGTCACAAAAAATGTTGAAAGTACGAGGAGAATTTCAGACAAGCGCCGAATTGGGAGAGTTGGTTTCCGCGTGCCGATTTGCACCCAACATCACCGAATTCGAAAGCATCAGTGTTTCGATTGAACGGATCAAGAAAGAGGTATTAGTGTGCGAGCACAAAGAAAACACCCGTTAACGTTTCAGATTGACAAATTCGAGACCACGCAAGGCTTCTTCGACGAGTTTGTCAACGAAGTTAAGGACAAGTCGGAAAAGTTCCACTAATGCTATTTGTGATTTTGCCATTATTTCCCGGTGCTTGCAAAAATCTCAACTTATTCCTTATAAAACTTCGCTTTGCCTTGTTCTTTGTCTAGCAACGATTCTCATGAGACTATTGGCTAGTCATTACTAGTGCAACTGTGATACAATAAATGTCATTTACACAACTCTGATGTGTCAAAAGTGCAGTTGAAGCAACAATACCGATTAGCTACTATTCATTTTACGTTTCTAACCATAAAGTTCAGTAAAAACTTTAAAATTTTGGCTGCATTTAAACTGAAACCCACCCCAAATTTGTTGATTCGTCGAATTTTCCGAGTGATCCAAAAACAATTAATGCGTTTCTCGCGTTGAAAGCAGAAGAAGGCTTCTAAAATGAAATGTTAGAAGATGAAACGTGAGCAAAAGTTTAAAATTAAAAGGCTAAAAAATTAAAGCTTGGCAGAAACAAAAGTAAAAGTTTCACAAAGCTTTGCCTATTTATATTCGCGAAGGAACCATAAATAATTTTTATTAATTTAATTGAATATCAAAAATTTTTCTTTGAATAGATTTAATGGCTTTAATTTCTAAATTTGAAGCTTTCCCACATTTAGCTTTTTGTGTTCCTGCTTATTTTACATTTTTAACTTTAGAGTGTTATGGAAGCGCAGGATAATCAAAAGCCCTCTTCATCGGGTCCAATTGAAGCCAAAAGCAAGGATGAGCTATTTTTTGTGACCGAGGCCGAGTTCTGGGAGCCAATTCAAGACGAATACGTGAAGAAACTTTCCGAAATGAGCGCTGATGAGGTGAATTTGTCTTTTAGACGAGTAAGCCTGTGTTCAACTATGCTTACATAATTTTTGCGTATTTTCATCTTTTAGATGTATCCATCCTTTAATCCAGGACCGACAAAACCCGATGGAAGTATGAATTTCGAATGTCATTGCGTGGGACATCTTGTTGCTAGTCCTTGTGGATACGAATTTAGAAACGTTTGTTTGAATTTTTGTTGTAAAAGTTTGTACTGAAATTTTAGGTGATAAGTTGTCAAAAAATCCGCATCCGATAAAGAAATGGAGGACGGTGCTTGTGCCGATGAAATGATCGAATTTATGAATTGCGCTTTAAGAACGGGTAAAATTTTTGGCTAACAAAACGTAAGATTGTAATGTTTTAGAATGCTTCAAAACAGCAAAGCAAGATGAAGAAGATTCGAAGCCAAGCTCTGAAGATAAATGATATCATTTTAGTTGTTTTTATGTGTTTTTTTTCGTGAATTTGTTTTGTTGTTCTTTTTTGATAGGTTTAGCAAATAGATTTGTTTCAGATAAAGCAATGACAAGTCTTGTTGGATACGCGCGTCGATGTGCTTCTCAATTTGCCAGTGTCAGCGAGAAGGTGCTAAAACTTTTTAGACTTGTTAATTGTCAGTTTTTATAGGCCAAATACGTCCCTAGAAGATCACTACTTTATGTGCCGGCGAGCAGTGAGAAAATGCTTAATAAAGTACCGTTAATGAAGGTATTTTTTTTTTTTTTTTTCTAAATGCTAAATGCCAATTAGCGATTACTAGGGGAACGGGCTGACAATGATACTATTTTTTACACTTACAATTAGTAGTGTTAAAAAAACTAATTAGCTAGGGTCTTTAATTTTCCTACAAACTTTGTACCCAATTTTAGTCGGATTGTGTGGTGCTCGAGCTAGAAGACGGTGTGGCGCTAACTTCGAAAGCGGTCGCTCGCTCTAATGCTGTGAAAACGCTCAATCAACTTCAAGGTACTAAATATTTGACTTCATTTTGATTAGTGTTAAGGTAGCATGTTATCGTGCTTTGAGCTCGGTCTCCGCGTGAATTCTTTTGCAAGTGGTCTGCTGGAAGATGACTTAAAGGTATTTTGAGATTTTTATTTTTATTGCGAAGTTTAGGAACTAAGTAAAGCCGAAGTTCTTCCAGCAGCTTTTATGATTCCCAAAGTCGACACTCCCGAAGATGTGGCTACGATTTATGATCTTTTTCGGACGACTTTTGGAGCTAATCGTATCACAGACTCGGTAAGTCTTTAAGGAGTTGATGTTTGTAACAGTCCAACGTCGAACTTTAGCCTACAAGACTTGTGATATGGATAGAGTCAGCGAGAGCCCTATTGGACATGCCTAGAATTGGTGAGAAATGTTTGTGAAAAGTCCTTATTTACCATTAAGTTTTAGTTTCTTCTGTCATCAATCTTCATCGAAATTCTGGTTAGATATGACGTGCGACAATTTCTATTTTCATTTAGGATTCTTCAAGTTAGACGCTGTGGTGTTTGGTTCAGATGATTTCTGTGCGGACATTGGTGAGGCGTGATTTCTCTAACTTCTTTTGTCGAGTAGTAAGAAACACAACTGATTTATTCATAATCTTTCGTCGTCGCAAAAATTCACTTCCGGTTGACTGAAATAACGTTGCCGCTATAAATTCCGGTTCGTATATTCGACCTCCCGTTTCCATTCCTAAAAATTTGGGATAAACATTGTTCTGATGGAAAATGGGTTGAGAAATCAGGTACCTAGCTAAAGAGTTTCGCTTGAAAAAAATTTCCAATTTTTGTTTGGGAATTCTTTTGGAGATATTACACTTCTTTTCGATCATTCAAGTTTGAAAAAAGCGGTGCTCACGACTCTGGTGCGTACGATACCAAATTTGAGATGAGCTATTTGGCCTAATTTGTCTTGGGTCAACAAAAGTACTATTCAAGCTGGAAGCCTTGTTTCATAAGCACATTTGCATAGAGTTTGCTCACACCAGATTCATGAGTACCAAAATTGAGTACCTAAGACAAAGGTATTTTATATTAGATTTTAAATTTCACACAACGAGTAGCTAACCACTTGTAGATTCCCCACGGCATCCTCGCACCAGAAAGCGGATTTCCGTCGTGGAATTGTAAGGCACCATAAGCCATAAGTGTGATAGCAGAGAAAATTATGAACAAAATGCGGGTAAGCATGTCTCCAACCGGAAACGGCTTCAAAATGCCGATGGGGTTTGTGGCGTGGGGACCTGAGTGGGAGGAGAGGTGCGGGGAACAAGGCGGGGAGGGGAAGGGGTGGGGACTGGCCTGGGCTAGCCGTGGAACTCTCGACTCTCTCCTTCACGGCATCCATTATGGAATAGGCTACTCTCTACTGAAACTGCGCCCTTTTCTTTTTCCATCGTCGATCCCATATAATTGTGGCTAGGGAAACTGTGGGAATGCGTGATTTTTCTCGCATCATCGTTCCCGGGCTTTTTCATTCAGTGTTAAGCTTAGTCACGCATAAACCGCCTCTCAAGAAAACCGGCAATTAACTGGAAAATTAATGTTTTGATGAAAATTTTATTGTTTTAGGGGCAATCCGAACCGCCGAGGGCCTTGAAAACATTTACGCTCGTCAAAGATTCGTCACCGTATGCAAGGCTTTTCAATTACAGGTATGTTTGCAAAATAATGTTTTTTAAACATAACAAATTTGGATCAAGAAATGAAGACTTGAAAAAAAATAATAATTTTGAGAAATTTTTGTGATTTTCGTGTGAAAACGATTGTTATTTTTAGGCAATAGATTCCGTGTACATCGATCTCAAAGATGAAGAAGGTTTACGCGAATCTTGTTTGCAAGGACATAGCTGGGGCTTCACTGGGAAACAAGCTATTCATCCTTCCCAAGTAATTAGTCTTGCCTTTTTATTCATGAGCGAAAAAACTCTTTTGAGGTTCCCATTATTCAAGACTCTTATAAGCCGTCCGCGGAAAGAGTTGAATGGGCAAAATCCCTGGCCGATGCTTTCTCCATGCATCAACAAGGGGGTTTGTTGAATTTTTAAACACGTTTTTCTTTGGCCAGCTGATTTTAATTCTTGTCAAAATAGTAGTTTATTTCCAGGAACTGGTGCTTTTTCTTTCCGTGGTCAGATGATCGACCGGCCCCTTCTCCTTCAAGCAATGAATGTACTCCAAATGCAAGAAAGGATCATGGGCGGTGGATTGTAAATAAGTAGTTTCTGTGTGTACAGTAGCTAGCTTGTGATAAAGCTGATATTTATAAATATTTTATTTCTAGTAACGACTTCTCATTCAGTTTTTCGAGGTTCCTGGTCGGTCACTATTTTTGGAGCCTTCTTTCGAGCTCTTACGTTTTAAAATGTTGCTGAGAGCCGCTTTTCGTGCCTCAAGTGGTCGTCGTCTGAAAAAAGAGGTGTCAATTTTGAGAATATATTTGTTACGTCTCACCTGGATGGTGGAGAGGGTTCGGTGTTTGAGTTTGGGGATAAGGGATCTTTTTCGATCGACGAGTTCACAGCACTTTCATCACTCTCTTCAATGGCTGAACTTTGCTCAGCAATTAGTGATAACCTAAACATTATCGGTATTAATCGTTTTCAGTGAGCACCTTGATCGAAATTGCACTGTTGATGCTATTTGATTTGCATGACTCAGCGCTATGCGATCTTCCATCTCCTCTAGTGCCTGAGATTTGCATTTACAGTTGGTAAAACTTTGCAGTACCTCAATGTCATGCAAAGATGGATGTGAGGGTTTTACATCGTTAATCACTCGACTTGTCGAGAAATTAGCATCAAATGACTTTGATATGACGATCTGTAAGCAAATACTATCAACATTTTTTTCACATCCCCTACTTGACTTCCACTAATATCACTTATTGTGTTGCTTGTTGTGCTGATTCCCGATTCTTCGCGCACCAATTCGGTTAATATCAAAATGTCACCTTCCTGGAAACATTTCTCTACAAAAAATTCTTAATTTTTTTCGTGTGAAACCTCGGTGTCGACAAGCTTCATCACGTCATCGATAGACAGAGACCGGGGGAGGAATTTCATCTAAAAAATCTTATTTATACTTTTGAATATTTCAACAAAACTTTAACCCAAATAGAATTATACCGTATTCTTTAAGGAAAGCTGAATGACTGATCATTTAATGTACTATCGATCTACTTTTGTAACTTCATAGAGTTTATTTTAAAAATCAGTTTACCCCTGCATTTCGTATGCTTCTCGTGATCCCGAGAGATCCTTTCGTCGGTGATGGAAATGAAAGAACGGTTTGGCAAGTCTAAAAGCTTTAATTGTTCTACTCTATGGCTTTGTTCTCCATTGATAAACAAATCAGTAACTTTTGTCAAAAGTAAAAATATCTATTTAGACTTTTAAAGAAGTTATTAGCGATCTACCTTATTGTAACGCTTCTTTCCATGAAGAGCCGTCTGCACGGCGTCTCGTGACATTGAATTCACGGAGCTTGATGTGCGAAAGACTCCTAAAATTGAGAATTTGTATGAAATGGAATATTGTCCATTTTCTCTTACCTAAAGCACTTCCTCTTCTCGTTAAATGTCGTTCATCGCCCACTCTACCGGCATCTAAAAGAAGGCCGCCTTCCCGATCAAAATGTGGATGATGACGTTTACGACCGGCTTCATAAGTTCGCTCAAGTTTAGCCTGAACATGGAAATTTTTTCTTTCTTGGGTTTCAAGAGGAAGATGAGATTAGAGAAAAAATGTTATCAAGTAAAGACAATACTGTAGCTCTGTACAGTAAGAGTAGACAGCTATGGTCATTCAAAATACCATATTCGCAATTCTTCTTGCATTTTTTTTTTCACCTGAATCAAATTGATACACATGGAAACTAGTGAAAGACCAATAATGATGTAGATAAAAAGCATCAAGAGGTAACGCGGTTGGGTCGGAGTGATATCTAAATTTGAGGATTTACGGTGCGCTTGAGTTAGCATTTATGAGCTAATGCGTCTTTTTGGCTCTATTTTTCTACCTGGTATCACTTTGATAGAACAATTTTCTTCACGATTTCACTTCAAATTACTTACCACCTAAACCGATTGTCGACAGGGAAATAAAGAAAAAGTAGAAAGCCACAAAATAGTCCCATTCGCTCTCCCAAATACAAAAAGTCGCCTAAAAAGGAAACGTTTTTGGGCTACAAATTTCTCTAGAGCCCACTGAGCAAATGAATATCCAGGCGACAACGACGCCAATAGCAATCGGTACCGGTAAGTCGAAAATCTCGAGATCTAAACACATTTGTATAGAAATTTGTGCTGTACTAGACAAAAAACTGTCCCACTAAAAACGCTTTCTAACTTGCTTCAAATCTGTTGGATTGTTATGATCTATAGCTCAAAGAATAGAGAATTTCAACAGCTTTCGAATCGACTAAAGTACACCAAAAATGCTATCAATGCTAAAGAAAGTTACAATGGTTTTAGTCGAAGCGATCGAGTCAAGCTACAAACCATTGTAACTTTCTTTAGCATTGATATTTTTCGGTGTACTTTAGTCGATTCGAAAGCTGTTGAAATTCTCTATTCTTTGAGCTATAGATCATAACAATCCAACAGATTTGAAGCAAGCTAGAAAGCGTTTATAGTTTACGTTTGTAGTTTGTAGTGTCTATGCAGTATACTATTGAAATTTTGTTAAATCAACAACTAACAGATTTGGCCTAACGGTTTTAGTACTCTCCGTAAGCTAATAGTAAGCAAAGTCTTACTATTAGCTTACGGAAAAGCAAAGCAAAGCCCTTTACCTCTCTTATCCTCAGCGTCCAGTCGTTTGATCTCATCCATCGTTTGTTTTGTGCAGTAACGGAAAGCCCGTCGGCATACGCATTTCACCAGCCACCACGGCGTTTTCAGGCATCTTGTCAGCAATTTTCCTGAAAAACTATCAACAATAACTGGGCAATGGCAATACTAATTGTTTAACTGCTAGATATTGACTTCAACAGGTCGTAGCCGGTTTACGAATTTCGTAAATGGCTACAACATTTACATTATCATGTTTCGTTACAGTAAATCTGAATATCTCTATCCAAATAAGTTCTTTGTTTAATAATACTGACAATGAGAGAGCTAAAACAATTGACAATAAACAATTGACTTCTCCGCACTCCTGTTATTATTCTACTAAAGTTTTCGTCTGTTTTTTGAAACATCCTGCTGCCGAGAAATTGATTGAAAAGGTCAAAAGAGGATAGGTTTAGCTTTTTAAAAGAAAGGGAAATTCTCATGGGAACAATTCCCAAGGTCTTCCCCTCTCCTCTTTCCCTTCTTCAAGCTGGAACTCCTTCTCTTTTTCTTTCCCAATTCTTCCTCAATTTCTCACCCTATCGGTGACAAATGATACCTCGCTTACTAAAGAAAATCCTTTGTACTTTTCTTTGATCCTTTCTTACCTAGATCATCGAGAATTGAAAGGACTAAAGGGATCCCAAAAATCGCGTAGATCATTGTGAATAAACGGCCTTCGAAAGTTGTTGCGTAGAGATGACCATAGCCGATCGTTGTGCAAATCGTCTAAAGCAATCGGAAATTATGGTTTTATGAATTCTTGAGCTGTTAAATGCAAATGAAAATAAGTGGGTACTGGGATTTGATATTTGAGCACGTGTCATGAAGAGACTTATCGACGTAACGACCTTGGTTGATCTCCGTACAGGATTAGATTATTTTAATTGAAAGTTCTGTACTTTTGAATTCTCACTATCACACTAGAATCACCTGTGCATAAAGCATTGCATTCCAGAAATCCCACGGGATTTTCTGATCGGTGTGTTTAATGCCGAGTTGGATTTCGTATTTCACCAACTCTTCGCCCAACTTGTTGGAAACCTGGAAAAGTTTTGTGAAAAGGATTTTAAGCAGTCTTATCTCAGAAAAGTTTCTATATTTGGCTACAAGAATTGAAAGGACAAAAGGGATTTCGAAAATCGTTAGAGTCCTAACTCACACAGAATCTGGCTCTGCCACAGCGTATAGGCTGGAATTTAGCTAGTTTGACAAGTAAAGAAAGACTGAATAGACTGAATACTTTCAAAACCCTATAGAAGATATTCGTTTGTTTGACCCGAATGCTTTATCTGAGTTATTGTAGAGAATACTAGAGCTTTACAGTAGCAGCAAGATTGCTTTACAGTAGCTTTCCAGTAGCTTTACAGTTTAAATTTCCCCACTCACCTCTATTGTTTGATTATGCGTGAGAAAGAAGAGATATTCGGTGTTATTGAACAACAATGGAATTATTCTAGAGATCAACACCGTACGATTTTCCCTAAAACAATAAAGCTTATTTTTTTTTCTTTTGAGTTATTTACCGTATTTCAATTTCCCAATTTCTCTCCCTAATTTCATCGGCTTCTTTCTCATAATAGTAGAAAACAGCAGCGCCAAAAAATTGATACAAAATGAGAATCGAGATTAGACAAATATGTTTGAGACCGTAGTCGTGATAAATCTGAAATTCGAACTCTGAATTCGAGGTGAAAATTAAAATGAATCTAAATCTAAAATAGACTAGATGATCATCATCATAAATATTCAAGATGATCATCATAAATACCATATTTCCTCTAATAGTAGTGCACCCCGGCAAAGCCGAGTTGGTGACTATTTTACGGTTTCCAAGCTTTTGCAGAAACTCAACACTCAAATCTCCCGCTAGATCTCATCGTCATATTTCAAATGAATGTGAAATCTAGCTGCTTATGTTTATCGTATTATGATAAACTCATCATCAGATACTCCTGAGATTCCACTGATCACTGAAACAACCTTGGTCAAGCACTCTGCCCTTGATCAGGTCAAGCACTTGATTTGTTTTGATGACATTGACATCCTTGATTTGATTCACCATTGATTGACATACCAATGCTTTTGGGTACTAGGCAATCCGGTCAAACTTCAGTTTGCCGAACATTGAGGCCTTTGAGTTACCGTATTTTCCTCGCCGAGCCGAGTTGAGGACGATTTTACGGTTTCCAAGTTTTCCCAGAAGTTCAACGCTCAAATCCCCCACTAGATCTCATCGTCAGCTACATTTTCCGACCCCACATCAATAGGTTCTGATAAGCGGCTCTCGAGATTTCGAGCAATTTAGGCGACGCTCAGGGTGTACTACTATTAGAGAAAATACGGTATCCGTTTTCATTTTACTCACCGTTCTCAAAATTCGAACCCATCGCGGTACTTTGCGTACTTTCTGCAAACCTTGACGTGCCTCTTCTCGTATTGAGTTGCTCAATTGGAGTGCCTAAATTGTTTTATCTAGTAACAAATCCATCGAACTTTTGAAATACCCCTTTTCGAAAAGATTGCCGCAATCGATTGAGATTTACGACATTCGAGGGCCTTCGCATAGCCATTACATCTAAAAAGTTTTGTTATTTTCAGAAAAAAAAAATCCCAAAGTACTAGAGAAAGAGATTCTATTGTAGAAAAGAGAAAAGTTTAACAAGTGATTTTTAGAAATTTTTGGAACTCCGAATATGGCTGGGTTGAGGGGACGAAGGGGAGAACGCAATCTTTGAGATTGATCTTTGAAAGGAAGAGGACCCTGTGGAGATATGCAAATTTGGAAAGGGCAGAAGAATTGACAAAGTGAAAGGAGGAAAGGAGAAGGCTGACCATTGAGGGGACCTCGATGAGGGCGATGGATGTGAAGAATGAGAAGAAAGGAAAGGAAAGGAGAAGAGATCACTGTCCCGGGGGACTTCTTCTAGAAAGAGATCTCTTATTCTGGAGAAATCTCTGCTATGGTAACACCTTTGACTTTGATGTCGTCATCAGATTGAAGTAGAATCAATGGTTGAATGGCTTGATCGGTTTTGAATCTGTAAAAAAAAGTGAACGTTTAGCTGGTTCCTCATTTTCCATTTCCAAGCAAGCAAATCCCTGGTTTACCTAGAAAATATTTGATATATAAAGCACAGTATTAAGTTTGACAAGAAAGAAATCCGTGTTGGGCTTGATGTGATCTCTGTGCGCGCTCGTAATCGCTAACCGTCTGGCATCCTCATCTGGTACAAGCTGCTTCCTTTTCCGTCTCGTGGAAGAGTGGTCATGTAAATGACTCTTGTTCGTTATGTCCCTGCGTAATCGCTCGTCTTCTGGCAAACGTTCCCAATAGATAGGTCGTCCTCCTTCGAATCGGAAGAGGGAAAGGACTGAGTCGGCGTCACTTTTTACGGCGTCACTTTTTACGGCGTCACTTTTTACGGCGTCACTTTTTACGGCGTCACTTTTTACGGCGTCACTTTTTACGGCGTCACTTTTTACGGCGTCACTTTTTACGGCGTCACTTTTTACGGCGTCACTTTTACGGCGTCACTTTTTACGGCGTCACTTTTTACGGCGTCACTTTTTACGGCGTCACTTTTTACGGCGTCACTTTTTACGGCGTCATCATGCCAACCCTCTGACATCAACTTCTACCTTAAATTTCTAAGTATTTTTCCACAGCTTTTACATCCTGTCTTGGACTATGTTCATAGTTAATCGCTAAATTTTTTGGCTTTAATTTAAATCATCTCATTATGGAAAAACTTGAACTTAAGCTGCACCCCCTCCAGTCAATTCCATAAAAAGTAAACTCATTGAAACGATTTCTATCTTGTCAATTGCTGTGAATTCAAAAAATTCAAACTCTTTGATGATTAACATCAGCAATCGGTTGTTTAATTGCTCTCGGCCCTCAGTGTGGGTGCAGTTTTTGCTCAAAAGTTTCACCCAAAACGAAAAGAGTTTCCATTTTTGAGGACAAAGTCCAGTTGATTCATCAATTGCTTAGTTTTATCTCAAAGAGAGTCTAAACACATCTGTCCCATTTGACCCAAGGCATCTTTCATGGGAAAGTGGGGGGTGGAAAGAGAAAAACAATCGATGATTCACACTTGATTCAAATTGTTTATTTTTGAAGGAAGCAGCAAGATTTGAGAGATAAAAGAGATCATTTCAAATTCAGATATTTCAAATTTTTGATTATCTGCTTTTCAATGCTCTGGTTTTTAATATTTCTTTTTCAAAATGCTTTCACGAAATCGTTGCCGGAAGAGACGATGTCCACAGTAAGTTTGAGAAGATGTAAATAACTAAACTGTAAATGACTAAACTGTAAAATAAATCTAAACTGTATAAATCTAAACTGTAAATATCTTTACAACATTATTTGTTTTCAAAAAAGTTAATCAAATCAATCTGTTTATTTATTAGGTTGATGCATAAGTGTTTTCGTTCCTTTTCGTCTGCCGTTTCAAGCCAACAAATGCACCAATTAAACTACGGTTGATTTCATTAGAAAAAGCAATTATTTTTCTGCAAAATAACATTAAAACGGGTTTAAAAATATTTAATGCCTGGATTTTCTTGAGAGTATGAAGTCGGGTAGTCAAAAAGGGCTAACTCGATGATGCGGTTTAGACACCTTAGCTAAAGAAATGCCTGGATTTTCTTGAGAGTATGAAGTCGGGTAGTCAAAAAGGGCTAACTCGATGATGCGGTTTAGACACCTTAGCTAAAGAAAACCTATCTTCGTGTCAATAGATAAAAGATAGAGAAAAAAAACGTTTGATATTTGGCCAAAATTTCAGAGAAATTCATTCAGCCAATTTTTCCGTAGAGTTTTTTATAGATTTTTACGAAGAAGGCGTTTTTCACTCTCGAATTTGCTTGAAAGTGAACCGAAATTCATTTAAAAAGATGCAAATTGAACAAAAAAACTCTTTTTTTATAGAGCAAACTATAGATTAATTGGTGAATTTGTTACTTTTTAACAGAAGTACGAAAAAAACGAAAAGACTTATGCATCAACCTATTACATTCAATTTGTCGAATTTTCACTGAGCTTTGCTTTCTCATCGAATCATCAAAATTTCTTTAATTGAATGGAAACGAACGCGCACAGAGATCACATCAAGCCCAACACTGATTTCTTTCTTGTCAACCTTATAGTACTAAATACTGTGCTTTACATATCAAATTTTCTAGGTAAACCAGGGATTTGCTTGCTTGGAAATGGAAAATGAGGAACCAGCTAAACGTTCACTTGATAGCATTAGTTCCTTAAAATTTGTCTTTTAAAACGTGATTAATCAAGAAATACATATTTTAATACAAATTTTGAATAGGAAAAATAACTTGATCAGATCAATTGTAAAGAAAAAAAGTGTAAAAAAGTTTGCACAAATAACTAGCAATGTAATACGACTTTTAAAGTACTTTAGATGTACTTTAGATTAGAAATTCTATATTTAAGGAAAACATTTTAGCCCGAGATCATCAGCTATTACGGTTATCCAGTGGAGATCATCACGGTGACCACCGATGATGGATACATTCTCGCGTTGCATCGGATTCCTTTCGGGAAAAATGGTGAGAGATTATTGCCATGAAATCTATAGCCATTTATGTTTTACTAGTTGAATTTACTAAAGATTTTTACTAAATTATCTATGTTCTTTTTTGAATCATCTAGAGTAAAGTAACCTTTAGAAACCAAAAAAACGAGGAACCCAAATCGACCGGTGATTTTCCTTCAACATGGCCTCCTTGCGTCGAGCGCTGATTTTGTCGCCAATCTCCCGCATCAATCACTTGGTTTGTTTAAAAATAAGATTAAATCATCTAGAGTAAAAGGCTTTAACTAAAATTAATTAATTAATAATCATTTCATTAGCTTAAGGAAACTTTGGTAATTCTCCTCTTTTTACTTTGATTTAGAGTTTGATTGGGTTAAAAATGACTGTCAAACTTGAGTATTTTGTACTAATATGAAATCAAGTCTTGCTACACAGAGAAATGTTGAATTTCGATGTTAACAAAGTAATTCTCCTCTTTTTACTTTGATTGGCTTCAAAATTACTGTCAAACTTGAGTATTTTGTACTAAAATGTTGAATAAAATGTAGAAAGAATGATATAAGGATAAAGCAAAAAGAATAAAAGAATAATATCTTTAATTCCGGTTAGAATTTAGAAAGTTAGAAAGTTAGAAAACTTACAATTATTTTGTAAGTTGATTTTGTCGCCAATCTCCCGCATCAATCACTTGGTTTGTTTAAAAATAAGATTAAATCATCTAGAGTAAAAGGCTTTAACTAAAGTTTAAACAAAAACAAAAAACAAAAAACATTAAAAACTTTTGAATCTTTAGGTTTCATGCTAGCCGATGCGGGTTTTGATGTTTGGTTGGGGAATTCTCGGGGAAACTTCTACTCGCAAAGACACACAAAATTCGACTCCAATTCGCCAGCTTTTTGGAATTTTACGTAAGTGATTTGTAAAGTAAATGGTAAAGGTGATGAATTTCGAAAATTCGAAAATTCGATCTTTGAAATAAAACGTATTTGAAGGTGGGATGAGATCGTCGCCTACGACATGCCCGCACAAGTCAATCGGGTTTTAGAGGTTCGAGATATCGTTTATTCTAATTGAGTATTTAATTTTTTGAATTAAATACCTTTAAAAATTATGTAATACGCTTATCTCCAGATCACCGGAGCCTCAAGCCTTCACTATGTCGGTCATTCACAGGGCACAATGGTGATGTTCGCTCGGCTCGCCAACTATCCTGATTTTCATTCAAAGGTTCGGAAATATTAGATTAATAGCGGGTTCTTCTGGCGCCGGGCCCTGTCACCATGGCACAGTCGAGAGGGCGCTTGTTTAGAGCCCACACGGTCCGGGTTCGACCCACCGTAGTGCCACTAAATTCTCATTTTTTAAAAATTTCTTTTAAATGGCACAACTACAATATATTTTAAGGGTTTCTAAAGAAGCTTTAGCCTTTATTGGACCAAAATACCGTACAGACCGTACAGAAAGTGCCCGTACAGACAGACAGACACTGTCCTTTTATATACAGTAGAAGAAACGTCTGTCTGTCTGCCCGTCTGTCTATCTGTCTGTCTGTCTGTCTGTCTGTCTGTCAGTCTGTTCGCAGTCCTTGGCAAAAAGGGGCGGGGCTTAGATTGTGTGAAAAATGTCGATCTCGCCAGTGGAAAACGCAAACTTTAGTGAGCGCTTTCCGCTGGTAGAATTAAACTAAAAGCAAAGTGATATCCGAAAGCTTTACCCATTTTTAGATCAAAAGCTTCTTCGCGTTGGCTCCAGTGGCCACTGTCGGCAATATCAAGGGACTCTTGAGAATCATTTCTGATCACTTCCAGAAAGAATTGAGGGTTTCTTTTAAAGCTTAGAAGCAGTACAACAATATTATAAATATTTAGTGGCTGATTGAGATGCAGGGTGAGCATCAGTTCTTGCCAACCACTTGGTTCTCGCGGATGACGGCGCGGATAATTTGCGGCACATTCGCCATGTTGAACCCACTGTGTCAGAATATTCTCTTTCAGATTGGTGGACCGGAGAACAAACAGTTCAATGTGGTGAGTAGAAGATCTCATCTTAGTAAGGGATAAAGCCCTCCCTGGCGGCAACGGAATACAGGGTGGCTGAAAATTACGTGCGCGCAGCATCTGACATAGTTTTAAACAATGTATAAAGCATTACTACTCATCTTTTTGTGTTTTAATATTCTTTTTATCGTTGTCTATTAATTTTTTGTTAAAAAAGTTGTTTTCTAGGTCATGACAAAGATGTGCGCTAGTCGGGACGCAATCGCACAGCTGGCGACGAGAGGCATGAAGAACTCGTCGATCGCATCGAGGCACAATTGAAAAATAGGAAAATCAACAATTTGAATGATTTACGTCAAGAAAATCAACAATTTGAATGATTTACATCGAGAAAATCAACAATTTGAATGATTTACGTCAAGAAAATCAACAATTTGAATGATTTACGTCGAGAATTGATCAAAATCTGGAACGACTTAGATGCAAATTATCTCCGCCGCACCGTCGATTCTGTAAAGAAGCGAATTGAAGCCTGTATCAAAGCGGATGGAGGCCACTTCGAAAATTTCTTGTAATTATTAAATGCTTTTGTTACAACTATTATATAAATAAATATTTTTACATGTTCTTTGAAAAAAAATTAAATTATGGCGTTTTCTTTGGCGCACGTAATTTTCAGCCACCCTGTACGTGTCAGTGTAGTTCATTGGTAGAGCGTTAGCGCGGAAAGCGTAGGTCGGTAGGTCGCCCAGCAAGTTGTGGGTTCGATTCCCAGCGGCGGCCATTTTTTTGATTCCCAGGCCATAGAAAGCATCGGCGTGTCCAACTAGTTTACTGATTGTATTACTGAGATTGGTACAAGATACTTTGAGACCAAGGGAGCAAGACTCTCCTCAGACTATGCTTAGTTGTAAAACAGTCTAATTTCTTTTTTCAGAGCCGTATCATGGTTTACATGTCGCACACTCCGGCAGGCACCTCCACCTCGAATATTCTGCATTGGGCGCAAATGGTGCAAAGTGGGAAGACACAAATGTTCGACTATGGAAGCGCGCAGAAAAATTTGTGGCGATATGGACAGGTTGGGGAAAAAGAAATCAAAGAAAAACTTGATGCCCTACAGTGAACCCTCTAATAGAACGCCACCTCCATAAAGACGGGTATAATGACGCGCGTACAGTCGCGTAGTCTAACTTTAAATGTGCCGTTCTCCGCACTGCTTTCTGCTACAGTGTTCTACATAGTGTCAAACGATAGCTCTTGAAATCTAGTATTTTTTTGATACCAAAACTGTAGTTTGGAAAAATCTAGAGACTGAGAGAAAAGTGATTTTCTAAAAAGAAGTTAGACGAAGGACTGTACGACTTCTATTAGAGTATTTACGAGAAATTTTTTAGGAAACCCCTCCCGCATACAATATGTCGACGTTCGTTGAGCCGACTTATCTCTATTATGGAGACGCCGATTGGTTAGCCGATGTGATTGATGTTGAAGTAGAGTTGCAAGAAAAAAAAAAGCCTTATAAACTTTCCCAGAATTTGTATTTAACTTTAAAAAATGTCTAGTTTTTATCTAATTGGAAAGGCAATAAAATAAAAGGCTTAGATTGGTAAGTATTGTCTTTCAATTTCCTACCGTAAATACTGTAAATTGGACCCCACCCCATAATGACGGTGCAGAGTGTTGCGTAGTCTAGCTTTGAACGAGTTTCTCTCGACACTGGTTTATGCTACAATGCGCGTTTAGGTATCAAAAAAATAGCTGAAATTGAGGGCTATTTTTTGATATCAAAGCGCACATTGTAGCATAAACCAGTGTCGAGAAAAACTCGTTCAAAGCTAGACTACGCAACACTCCGCACCGTCATTATGGGGCTGGGGTCCAATTACAGTATTTACGGTAAGCAACCAAACCATAACTTTTTCTGTCATTTTTTGCCAATGACAATTGAATATTTGGCCAAAATTTCATCCCGATCTGATGCTTTGCTTTTGAAAAGTTGCTTAAGTTGCACAAGCAAAGTTAGTCATTTTTTTACTTAATGACTGATGTTCATTAAATGTTGATTAGAAATTTAATTAGACAATGATTTGAGAATCGAAATCATCACTCTTTATAACAAAAATCAAACGATCTTTGACTACAACGTATTAGCTTTGATTTCTTGTCTCAGAAAACGAGGCTAATACGACTTCTTGTCTCAGAAAACGAGGCTAAGACGACTTCTTGTCTCAGAAAACGAGGCTAAGACGACTTCTTGTCTCAGAAAACGAGGCTAAGACGACTTCTTGTCTCAGAAAACGAGGATAATACGATTTCTTGTCTCAGAAAACGATTTTTTTCGATTTCTTTTCTTGATTTCTTTCTGGATTCTTGAAAAATTAACTTCCCTAAACTTAAATGAAATGGGAAATTTTTCTTTTCAATATCAAAAAGGTTGCACAGCGTATTGAGTTTTGTTTTTTGTGCTCATTTTTGTTAGACATTGTTGGACATGGTTTAAGCCGTTTTTGGATTTGTGATACTTGATTTTAACACAGAAGTTGATCCAAAAACTGATCCAAAAATTGATTTTGCGATTTCTTAAAAACGAAGCATCAGATCGGGATGAAACTTTAACTCATAATGGACAAATATTCAATTCTCATAGAAAAAAAGTTCTTGGTTGCTTGGGAAATTGAAAAACAATACTTGTAGATCGATAGAAGATCGTTGAAATGAGTTATGAAATCTTTTTGCAGGCTTTAGTGAGCGAGATGAATCCTGAGTGTAAAGTTGTCGTGAAGAAATTGCCCGGCTACAATCATTTCGATTTCATTTACGGTCTTCGAGCACCAGCTGATATCTATGAAAATATTATAATGAATATTAAACGAGAGCATAAAAAGGGGAAAATGTTGAGATCGAATAGGGTTTAATAGAATCAATGTTCAATGTTTTGTGTTTTATTTCAAGTGTTTTGTGTTTTGTGATACGAATTTACGGAAATTTCTTAGTTATTTCTATTATTTAATGTCAACCGTTAAAAGTTGTTTTGTATACTCATCAATAAAAACTAAGAGAAAAAAAGCCTTGATTGCCCGTACAGACAGACAGACAGACAGAGAGAGACAGACAGACAGAGAGAGAGACAGACAGACAGAGAGAGAGACAGACAGACAGACAGAGAGACAGAACATCTATAGTTACCCCCATGGTACCATTCTTGAGGATGGTACCATCGTCTAGCATGGTACCGCCTCAAGGATGGTACCATTGTATTAGGTGTGTGAAAAAGTAATCGACGTTTTTTATTTTTATTTTGTTTAAATAAATATATCTAAACAATTTTTAATTTTTTGTTAACGATATATATATATATCGTTTAAAAGCTTATTTTTTCCTCTTTCGAATGATATATTTATTTTGTTAAAAAGGACGACAATAAACTACTTCCATTTTAGTTTTAAAATGGTATACACAAGTATCGTTATTCGGTCAAATTTGCTTTATGAGTTCAAAAATGGGTTGAAAGCTGCGGAGGCTGCACGTCGAATTCGGAATGCGTTTGGCGAAGACGCCGTTATTGATGGTACCGCTAGATTTTGGTTCCGACGATTCAAAGGTGGTGATGAAAGCCTAGAAGATGAACCACGTGGCGGTCGCCCTGAGACCTGTTCTGATGACCAAATAGGACGCTGTCTTCTCGAAAACCCTCGTTCAACTTCTTCAGAAACAGGCCTTATATTAAATTGTGATGGGTCAACCGTAAGGGAACGCTTGAATGACATGAATTTTATCAAGAAGTTGGACAAATGGATACCGCATGAACGATAACGCGCGACCACATGTCTCTTTACAGACTCGACAAAAAATCCAGAGTGTTGGAGTGTTGGTTTTACCACATCCACCTTATAGTCCAGACCTTTCTCCATCTGATTATTATTTATTTTTGTCTCTGTCTAACTTTTTGGCCAATCAATTCCGAAGAAGATGTCAAAACCGAGGTTGATCTTTTCTTCGCCTCTAAGGACCAAGATTTTTATTATCGTAGAATGTCTTTACTTGTAGAACGTTGGCAAAAGGTTGTTCTTTCGAATGGTGATTACTTCGTTGAATAAAAATTATTTTAACGAAACTTATGGTCCTTTATATTTAAACGTTAAAAACGTCGATTACTTTTTCACACACCTAATAACTTAAGTATGGGGTAAAAGGTTGTGAACAAGAGTGATGTGTAACCAGATTTCCCGGGGGCAGGTTTTTTCATAAAGTGAAAACAACATTTTTCGAACTTAGTACCCTCAGGAAGTAAATTCACAAAAACAATTGATATAAAAAAATTTATTAATCCGGTCTCCCAAAAAATAGCCGGGATTTTTTCCCTCGCTTTTTTCCAATTCATTGATCAGCGGGGCGATGACGGAGTTGATCAGTAAGCCTTGGAGCAAAGGCGTAGAAGCGTCCCATTCGTTCGGTTGGGGCTGGCCTAAAAATATTTATATTAAAAAAAAGATAACAAAAAACCAGCGGCAGCGGCTTTGACCGGAGACACAGAAGCTCCTCCCTTCATCACACGGAAAATGACCTCACAGTAGACTGGGAACTTAAACAACAAATTATCAGAAAATTCCAAATTAAATAGTCAAAACGAACCCCATTCTGATCGTTTCCAACAAAGGCAACAAGGTATTCGCCCACTTGAACTAAATAAAATAATTAACTTTAATTCACAAATAAAAATTTTACCTGGACCAACACAACGGACCTTGATGCATTTCAATTCATCACCCCTCATGACGAATTGATTGGCGGATGGAGTGATGACGACTTGTTGCTCGCAGGTCAAGAAGACATTTGAATTGCAGCATGGGTTATGGGAGCATCGAGTGAAACTCCATCCATTTGCCAATGTGTTAATGCGAATCTATTGGGTTGGGGACTATGACTCGGCGCCAAACTTTAAAGGAACTTTTTGCACACATAAAGCCTTCTTTAAATATACGTTTGGTTTCATCAAAAGGATCCACTATTTCTCTACAAAATGACTTTTGAGAGATTTCACAAAGCTTTTCTTTCTTGGAGTCTATGGACTCCCAAACACAGCTAATCAAAATGGCAAAGAGCCCGACTCATCATTTGAACAGTTTCTTTCACATAAACCTTCTTTGGTGTTTATATAAAAAAGATAGAGCACATTCAATTACTTAAGTTGCCAAATTTGCAGGAAGATCCCACCAATTGTTTTTTCTAGATGACAGTTTGTAGTTTATGTGAAAAAATGGCTTTTTCTTGAGCGGAGGCGCTGTTGAATTATTCTTTTTTAAATGTCGTTTTGTAGAGGATTAGTTAACCATTCTACTGATATCAAACGCATATTATTTGACGAAGTCGAATAGAAGTTTTAGACATTTTTTTGATTTTCGGCGCCGAGTCATAGTCCCCAACCCAATAAAAGTAAAATTTGAATATGATTTAAAATTTCTTATTTTACAAATTTAATCAATTCAAATTTATAATTTTTGAAAATAGGCAAAGCAAAAACGTTTAAAATTTCTCAAAATGAAACTCAAATGATATAAATACAAACTTGAAGGTTTTTGATGCTTGAAGCGAGATGGAGTTCCACAGCCACTGTTTGACCAACACGAATGTTGTAAATCTAAGTTTAAATATATCTAATAAGAAAAAGTTAATGAAAGCTCACTGGAGTTCCGTCCAAGCGGGTTTCGTCTGGAGTCGGACCGCTGATGCGCAGCCTTGAGGCGAGAGGCCACTTTAGATGAATGATATTTTCATTTAAAAATGTTTTGTAGTATATACTTTATCCGACAAGGAAAAGTGACAATGCAAACAGATTGAACAGCGTAGACGAAGAAAGATAATTGATATACAAACACAACTACAATTAGACACGTGTATATATGACATTAAAAACTAATTTAACATTGACAGAGCTACAGGATCCGAGCTTATATATTGAGTATTTAAAATAGTTCAGAGACGAAAAAAAATATCACAAGGTAACTTATTCCAAATACCGAGGAACACGACAAGTAAAAAAGAATGATACAGTTGGCGGTTATAAGAAAGCCTTGAAAGGGGGTAATCTGAAGTTGTGACTACGAGTTCTTCTTGGCGTGATTCAATCTTAAAGAGAATCCTTTAAGTTCCGGATGAGAGTTAGGAGAAGATGATTTTATAGCATAAGACCAAATCAAAATAAATGCGGCGATAGGATAAGAGGTTTAAGGTCAAAAGAGCCAAGTCGATCAAGAATATAAGAATTTCTTTCGATGAAACAACGAGCATAAAAATGTTTTCTTTTTATTTCTTTAAAAGTGTCTTTTATATTATTAATCTTTAAACAAAACTAATGTAAAAGTAGATTAAAAGAAAGATTATAAAACCTACGGGACTTTGAGCTTCTTCGGGTGCAGATCCTTTGTTTAGCCATCGCGCAGAGAACAGATGATCCCAACAAACCATCGGGGGCATTTTATATCTCGCTTTCAATCGTAAACTTCTGAAATCTTAAATGCAAATCTTAGGAGTATTAAGTAACAGGGTTTGTATGCAACAAAGGTATTGCCTCGCTGGTGTTCCGGCAAATGGATTTCCTCTCCCACCCATCGAGTCTGTCTTCATCCAAATTGAATACGCTAAATGGGCATCCTTCCGTAGAAACGGTTAATCAAGCAACAGGCCAAAACATAGTAATCAAACTAATTTTTCTCTACGTTTTTATCGGTAAACTCTACAGAGCAGATTCCATATTTCTTTAATGAAATTTAACGTGATTCTAAGACATACAACCGTGTGAGTTCTTTTTCCTGCTTTTTGCATCTTAAATTATAGACCATTTAAGTGGATCGACTCTCTCAAATATAGTCTGACTTTGACCGAAATTTTCTGTCTTATCGTAGAACTTAAGATGTGCTGAATCAATTTTGGTTTCT